CAACTATGGTATTTGTACTTGGGGTTCTACCCAAAATCATTTACGTCCTCTAATTACTCAACACAAAGCTGCTATTAGAACAATATCTAACTCTGACCTCTGGCCCCAGACATCACTCGGTACTCGTACTCAATTTCTGAATATGTTAGATATAAAGTTGCTGCACATCCTCTCATGTGTATTTTATATATATATATAAAATGCTGAATTGTAACGTCAATCCTAACCTTAAAAGCTTCCTAGAAGGTTGTAAGAGATCTCATGAGCACCACACCAGAAACAAATACCTATTTGATATTCCAATAGTACGACTTAGTCAAACGAGAAATGCTTTACAAATCGAGGGACCTCGAATGTGGAATGACCTTCCCAGTTATGTTAAAGACTGTACCTCTCCCAACCCGTTTAAGATAAAAACTGAGTACCACCTAATTAACTCAATGTAACCTACCTCACCCCTAAATGTCAACCCATGTCTACGATTTTAAACAATGCTGTTTGTTGACTAAATTGTATTTTTGTTTTTTTCTGCCATGTTTCCCCCCCCCCTTCCTTTTTTTTTTTTTCTATCTCTCAACACAATTTATACTTTAATCTAAGTTAGTATTAAGTTTTAGTCTTAGTGTTTTTCCTGCCCGAAACGCTTTGCGTAATAGTGGCTTTAGGCATTGTATGTACTAGCTCTATCTATGAATCCATCAACTTTTGTATTTCACCTTGTATGTATGTACTTTACCTGAATAAATATTTGTATTTGTATGGGGTCCACTATCACCAATAAGATGAGTATACTGGGTCCACTCCCTTCCACAGGATGGGTATGGGGTCCACTATCACCAATAAGATGAGTATACTGGGTCTACTCCCTTCCACAGGATGGGTATGGGGTCCACTAACACTCACGGGCTGGGGGTATGGGGGGCAACTACAGCTCAAGGATAGATATAAATTCCACTACTTCCCACAGGGTGTTGGTGTTGGGAGTGGTGGTGGTGTTGGGAGTTACAAGTAGAATGTTAAAAGTAGAATTTCAAGAGAGAAAAAGTATATACTTTATTGGCTATTTTCTACCATCTTCCCCCTTTTCTTTATCTTTTATTATTTTTTTTCATTCAACACAATTTATACTTTAAGCTCAATTACTATTAAGTTTTAGTCTAGGTGTTTTTTTCCCCACCTCTCCTTGCCCGAAACGCTATGCGTACTAGTGACTTTAGGTATTGTATGTACTACCTCTATCTTTAAATCTAACAGAATGTTTGTACTGTAACTCTGCAACTATGTATGTACTGTTCCTAAATAAATTATTATTATTATAATTATACTATGCCTAAAGCCCTAATACCCACAGCGTTTTGGGCAAGGAAAAAGAAAAAAAAACTAAGACTTAAGACTAATGAGATCAATAGCATGAACTGAACTGGCGTATGTTGACATTTAGGAGATAAGGTATTAAGTTACAATTCAATTTCTTTCTTTATTATGCATCCTATACCCATCCTGTGGGTGGTGGTGTAAAGGATTACAGAGGCACGTAATCGGTTCAGGAACTGAACTCTCTGGTTTGTTTAGTTAAGCAAATAACAATCTTTTGATGCTAGTTACACAATTATTATTGTTATATATATACATGTACACATACTCTTACATACATGTACATATATATTCATATACCTGTACATATATACACATACATATTCAATTACCTACACAAATACACACATCAATAATCTTTTGTATCACAAGTGATTCAACAAGAGCTCACAACAGTCACTATACAAGGCACTTTACATCTATGGTGAGTCACACAGTTACTAGTTTTATTGCACACCCACCCAACTGGGCGGCAGCTTTAGTCATGTGCATGCATTACCTACAGTAAGCAAATTTTGGATACTTCACTTAGATTTTGGGCAGCACATCATTATGAATGAAGTACTTACACATTTCTTGGACACTGTTGATGATGTTATCTCTAAATTCCGCGATTTTTTCACATTCCATTATATAATGACGCAAAGTATGTGAATAGTTCTGCTGACAGTTTACATTTAGTCAAATCTACATCAGCAGATGTTACAAGCTCCCAGAGGTACTTGTAGCTGAACCTAAGCCTTGCAGTGGTAACATCTAGAAGTCTGCTAACCTTATTGGATGACCCATAGACATGTGGTACTTCCTGCATAATAGAATGATGATAGATGGAGTAACTGGTGAGGCAAATTCACTTTGCCTCACATGAGGCAAAGTGAATTTCAATTTGCCTCATGTCTCCAAAATTCAGTTGCTGTTCCCGGAATATTACTGCCTTCAGGCTGCTCAGGGGCAGTCCACGTTGGTAATCAATTCCCTCTTTCGAGTAAGTCTTCGTAAACTCATCAGTTCTATCATGCATTCGGAAACCAATATGGGAAGGAATCCACAGAAGACAGACTGACTCCATCATTGATTATTGCATTGTGTGTCTAGCTTCAGAGATAAGCACGTCACAGTTATGCCTTAGGGAGCTAAGGGCAGTCATGGATGACAAGGAGTCACTTACAATTAGCGTGTCAACTTTGGATTCATATACGCGCTCGAGTGCAAGGATTATGGCAACCAATTCTGTTTGAAGAGTGGAGGCCCAGTTACTTAGTTGCGCTCCACACTCATGGGAGAAGGAACCATCTCCCTGTCACAACAACTGCACTTCCAGCTGCACCATGGGACTGATGCAAGGATCCATCAGTGTAAATAATCTGGGAAAGGGAGCGCTCTCTGACTAAACCATCAATTTGGCTTAAGGCATTATAACACACAGAGATCACACTAACGTGATGCATCAAATGAACAAATCCACAAGGGCCGTGACGAGGATTTGAACCTGCGTCCAGGAGCATCCCAGACACTGCCTTAATTGACTGAGCTATGACAGGGTAAAAGGGTTGAAACCGAAGTTCTACTGAACTTACTGGATCCTGTAGCCTCTCCGGAGGCACAAACCAGGATTTTACACAACCCCCCCCCCCCTGCACCTGAGCGATGTCAATAGGCCGTTTTCCCTCTTTGCCCGTACATCATTACACACAGATATCACACTAACGTGATGCATCAAATGAACAAATCCACAAGGGCCGTGACGTAGCCGTTTTACCCTGTCGTAGCTCAGTCGATTAAGGCAGTGTCTGGGATGCTCCCGGAAGCAGGTTCGAATCCTCGTCACGGCCCTTGTGGATTTGTTCATTTGATGCATCACGTTAGTGTGATCTCAGTGTGTAATGATGGGTGTTGACATGCTGTACAATGACATTTAACATATGCGCCTTAAGTTCTGTTAAATTGTTAAATCCCATTTTATTTTCTTGTAAATATTTAAATAATAAATAGCAAACCAAATACTGTACTGTACTGTTCAACTATTATAGTGTGTTATTTAATATTTGTAACGAGCTCTCCACTGGAATAAGAAAACAATATAATTCTTGCAATACCTCCAATGCCACCTTCCTTGATAGGCTTAAGCGAGTCACATCTGTTACCCCACACACTCGATACTTCTCCCTCCTTCCCTCCCTTCCCTTCCTGATCGACTCCCTCCCTCCTTCCCTTCCCTTCTCTTCTCTTCCTGACTCCCTCCCTCCTTCCCTTCTCTTCTCTTCCTGACTCCCTCCCTCCTTCCCTTCCCTTCTCTTCTCTTCCTGACTCCCTCCCTCCTTCCCTTCCCTTCCTGACTCCCTCCCTCCTTCCCTTCCCTTCCCTTCCCTTCCCTTCCCTTCTCTTCTCTTCCTGACTCCCTCCCTCCTTCCCTTCCCTTCCCTTCTCTTCCTGACTCCCTCCCTCCTTCCCTTCCCTTCTCTTCCTGACTCCCTCCCCCTCCTTCCCTTCCCTTCCCTTCTCTTCCTGACTCCCTCCCTCCTTCCCTTCCCTTCCCTTCTCTTCCTGACTCCCTCCCTCCTTCCCTTCCCTTCCCTTCTCTTCCTGACTCCCTCCCTCCTTCCCTTCCCTTCCCTTCTCTTCCTGACTCCCTCCCTCCTTCCCTTCCCTTCTCTTCTCTTCCTGACTCCCTCCCTCCTTCCCTTCCCTTCCCTTCTTTTCCTGACTCCGTCCCTCCTTCCCTTCTTTTTCTGTAAGACAAATGAAAAAAAAATATTGAACAAATTTGAAGAAAGAAAAATGTCATAAAGGTTTGTTCAGCGCATATATCCAGGCTGCTCCATTATTTAAAACATCGAATATCATATTGATGTTTTTCGGTGGTAGAACGGATTAATTTGATTTCCATTATTGTCAATGGGGACATTCGTTTTGTATGATGTCCGTTTCACATGGCGATCATGGATCAATTCCACTGTAATTGATTTATATTTGTTGTAGTGCATCTGGAATTTTAAGAAAAATGAATTACGGAGTTCCATCAACTGTTACGGTATCGACACAGTCACTGGAGTATAGAATGGTGATTTCAGCGCCATCTATGGGTTTGCACTCCAACTCCTCAGGTATTTGGTGCAACTCGGATAACGCCATCTGTTGGTGGTGGCGTGGCAATGGCTCCGGTTTCCTGTCTCGGTCAGAATGTGAGGTCAATGATGATCTCTGGTGGGTGGCGTACCAAGATCAGCGCCATCTAGGTTGTGGCTACAAGCATAATATCAATTCCCCCAGTGGACGAGTTTTATCTCGGTTACCCAGTGTACTGTTCATCTGGCTAATGACGTTTTTATGTTCACAGAGATGACATATGGAGGCGATTGAGCCGAGGAGGCCAGTTCACCTTGGGCAGTTCACAAACTCTTAGTTTGGTCCTGCAAGAGGACTAAGTAGCCGCCGTCGATCCGAGCAGTGTGTGTTAGCTGGTGATATATGCAGTGTTTTTAAAAGATTGACGTACCCGGGATTGGCTCGTAAGAGTTACGGAAGATAGTGATGTGTCTAGTGTGAAGTGCTGCTAGCAAGCTGCTAGAGGCTTCTTCCAGGGTATTAGCTACCACTGTATGTGTTAGTTTGGGACCCCTGTCAGCATGTTGCTGAAGCCCTCTGCCAGTGAGTATCTGGAGAGCAAAGGTGGGGTGTAGACACATCATGATACTGTGTGGGTGGACTGGCCCATGTAGAAGGTGAACTCGCCAGTGTTTGCCAGTACGTGTGGATACCATGTGCCTGGAATGTGGATTCACTGGGCTTGATAAACACTGTCATTGTGCTGTGTCCTGCGTGAAGGAGACACCATTGTAAATAGGTGCAGTTATACTTTAATATTATAATATATATATATTGGTGAATTATGTGTATTACTGATCCCCCCCCCCCATTTGTATTCATTGCACTACTACTTGACATCGCCAGTTCTTGAAAACTTATCACCAACTTGGGGTTGCATATAGAAAAAGAGGTTATTACAGCAAGAACCCAGTTACTGGCCCAAGTTACATTTGGACAAGAGATAACTCTGCCCTCTGTATTAGTACATGACTGTCTTTTGTATACACATATACATCTATAATACAACTAATGTACATTATTATATTTCATTACAGCTATATCAGGACTTGTTGACCTGAACACCAGACAGGACCAACATATATAAACAGGTATCCATCACATACCTGGTTAATACCTGGTTGATGGGGTTCTGGGAGTTCTTCTACTCCCAAAGCCCGGCCTGAGGCCAGGCTTGACTTGTGAGAGTTTGGTCCACTAGGTCCACATGATGCGAATATTTTTGCCCGCGTACAGTCCTTCTGCCTCTCCTGGGGAAGATGAACTTGTTCTCCTATCTAAAAATTTCTTTATAGTTTCAGTGCTATAATTGCATTACTGTGTTGCAGGAAGCTGCTAGAGAACTGAGCCAGTTTGCAGACAATGCTTATTGCACTGAAATGCTGAAGAAGTTTGAAAGTGCAGCAAGTAAGTGTTTATTTTATTTTGTTTTGATTAACAACAAACTATTACATGTAATGCAACATCATTTACCTCAACCAGTCTGTTGGGAACCATTATTAATGTGTTATTCACACGCAAATCACAATATCGTGATGTATCAAATGAACAAATCCACAAGGGCTGTCATGAGGGTTCGAACCCTTGTGGATTTGTTCATTTGATATATCACGCCATTGTGATTTCTGTGTGTGTTAAAGTAAGGGCTGTGGGGTAGAACATTTGGTTGACAGAGCCCAGGTGCATGGGGAAATTGTGTGGGAAAACCTGATTGGGCTTTGGAGAAGCTTCGGGATCCTTATGAGAGCAGTAGCACTCCATGCAATTCAACCATGTCATGGCACAGTTGACTAAGGCACAGCTGGGAGCATCCCATACGTAAATTCGAACCCTCATCACGGCCCTTGTGGATTTGTTAATGTGCTCTACTGTGTAAAGGAAAAGCAAGTAAATGTACATACAAACTGTGCAAGTGAGTAGTGCCAACCTATAAGCTATCATTAGTGCAATGATTTAAGTTTTTCAAATAAATGTTTATATTTGAGTTAAAGGAGCTTTAGAACTATTGATACCTTGTCCTAATTCATTTTCATTCATTAGGTATATTCAGTACGAATATGTATACTTTATGGTTTTGTCAGAATAATTATTATTATTATTTTAGCCAAAACTTGCAGTGCACCATGCAATATCTAGAGAACCCCATTAAAATCGTCAAAATTTGAGTATGGTTGTGCAAGGAAAGTCCTTAGTGTCTGTGTAGCCACATGGTAAAGTATAATCCCAGTTATCGGACTAAATCTGTGCAAACATGCTATGCAAATAAAGGTACCCAAAATATGGAAATTTCATTAGTAGATAGCTCAACTTGTACAATACTGTATTTTATTCAAAATGTAAAGCAAAGAAGCAATTAATTCCCTAAAATTTTAAGCCTACCTTATTCTTTTTTGCAAACTACAGGTACATTAAATCACATCTACCGAAGAATCTTTTATTTATTTATTTATTTTCTGGGGGGAGCCCCGTCGGCTCCCCGGAGCTATCCCAGGCTGATATGCTAATGTCAGACTTTGGCATCAGTCATGTGTATGGAGTTCTTAGGCCTACCGGGGACCACGGCCAGAACCGGGCCCCCTCAGAGAGGCAAGGGGAGCAATGGCCTATAGAAGCCCCCGTGTGGTTGGAAGCATTCTATGTCTGCCATCGACCGGAACAGGCACCCAGAAAGGTAAACGCCCCAAAACAAACCCCTATTCTGGTTAAAATTGCTACCAAAAACCGAACTAGTGGATAGAACTCCCCAACCGAAAACAAGCAAACTAGTGTGACGTCACACACCGCCGCGCCGCTGTCTGCGCAGCTCCCCCCTCCCCGGGAGGGGGAAGGGGGAGCCCCAGACCCTCCACGCCGGCTACCCACACCTCAGTTCTTGAGGCTGATGCTATAGGCGATGGTCGTGTGCTCTGGCTCCGGTGTCGCTACTGCACTGTGCTTTGCGTGAGGTGTTGGTTTTGTGGGTGCGAGAGCCAGGAGTTATCTTCAGTACTCGGGCTGCATGCGCCTAGGGCTGCCTTCCCTAGGTGCCCTGTAAGTACTGCCCTTGGGGCTTGGGGCCACCTTCCACAGGCTCCTCGGGGTCTGCCTCTGCTGGTCCGTTTTACCTTTCGGTTTTTCGGCCGCCTGTTGGCCTCTTGGGTGTTCTGTTCTCCCTTGTTACCGGCAGGTAAGAGGCAGTTTGCACTGGTAGGGGCGCAGGGTGCTGCTCAGCTTGTATTTCCCGACATCGCGGCCGGCTCTGTTCCTTGGGGTTCGCTGTCCTCTTGCGGGGTTTTGTTTTTCTTTTTGTTTTTGCCTGGTGGGGGGTTCTGTCATTTTATTCAGTTTGTTTTTGCCCTTCCACTGTTCTCCTAGGTGGCGCCCCCTGCTAGGTCCCCGTGAGTGTACATGTCCCTGGGGTTCAGCTTTAGAAGTTTGCTTGGTTTCAGGCGCTGGTTGCTCGGTGTCCGAACCCGAGGGTTTTCCCGCGGCTCCGCCTCTTTCAGCAGATCGGGCCGGTACGTCACGTGGCTGGTTCGATCTTCTCCTCGAGTCTTCGCGTATGGTTTTTTTGACTCGAGTCTATCATCATGTCTATGGTGATCAGGTGGCCTCCTTGTTGGTGTCCCACCTGAGGGCTTCTTCTCGGCGGCAGTATGAAGTTTCCTGGCGGTCCTTCCGTTTCTTTTTGCGTTTTCGTCATGTTAGTTCCTTGTCTGTTCGGGTGGTCTTGTCCTTCCTCTCGTGGTTGTTTCAGGACCGTCATCTTATGCCAAACACTGTCGCTTCGTATCGTGCGGCGCTGGCGGAGCCGCTTCAGCTTGCTTTCGGTATCGATGTTACGTCTGCGCCGTTTCGCAAGCTGTCTCGTGCATTGTTTCACCTCCGGCCTGCTCATGCGTCGCCTGAGCCGTCTTGGTCTTTGGACAGAGTGCTCGGTTTCCTTTCATCTCCTCGTTTCGTTGTGGCCCCTTCGGTCCGGGATTGTTTTTCCAAGGCACTTTTCTTGTTGGCTTTGGCCTCTGGGGGTCGGGTAGGGGAGCTTCATGCTCTCCTCCGGCGCAGGGGTTTCTGCTCTTTTGGTCGTGGTGATTGTTTTGTTCGTTTGCAGCCGTCTCCTTCTTTTCTGGCGAAGAATGAGACTGCTGCATTCCGGAGGGGTCCATGGGTGGTTGATGCTTGGTTGGTCAGGCCGGGGGTGCATCATGTTTTGTGTCCGGTTGCGGCGCGGTGCGGCCGTTATTTGCCCGCCACAGCTTCTGTGTCCGGGGACGCGCTGTGGGTTGATCTGGTTTCCCTTCTTCCCTGTTCGCGGGTTCGGGTCTCTCAGGTCGTCCGCAGGGTTATTAAGTCCAGCCATCCTGCGGTCTATCCCCCGTGCCCATGACGTTCGTAAGTTCGCGGCTCTTGCTGCCGTCTTTGGGAATATGTCTTGGTCTGATATTCGGGCGCGGGGATTTTGGCGGTCGAACAGGGTCCTGGCTGCTCGTTACCTTGTGAATGTCCCTGGGCCTCGTCGGGCCTGTGTTGCTTTGGGTCGGCGGTTGCAGCCAGTTGTCTCGGCTTCGAGTTGAGGAGTGAGCGACAACCGCCTCCCGGGTAAGTCCCTCTTTTTCTATCTGTGGGTAGTTAGCTCCGGGGAGCCGACGGGGCTCCCCCCAGAAAACCAGCGTTGAATGTAATGAAACGCCATTTTCTGGGCGAGTCCCGGAGGCTCCCCGGCATCCCTCCCTCCCTCCAGTCGGCGGTTTTTCGCGTTTTTGACATCCAGCCTCAAGAACTGAGGTGTGGGTAGCTGGTGCGGGGGGTCTGGGGCTCCCCCTTCCCCCTCCCAGGGAGGGGGGAGCTGCGCAGACAGCGGCGCGGCGGTGTGTGACGTCACACTAGTTTGCTTGTTTTCGGTTGGGGAGTTCTATCCACTAGTTCGGTTTTTGGTAGCAATTTTAACCAGAATAGGGGTTTGTTTTGGGGCGCTTACCTTTCTGGGTGCCTGTTCCGGTCGATGGCAGACATAGAATGCTTCCAACCACACGGGGGCTTCTATAGGCCATTGCTTCCCTTGCCTCTCTGAGGGGGCCCGGTTCTGGCCGTGGTCCCCGGTAGGCCTAAGAACTCCATACACATGACTGATGCCAAAGTCTGACATTAGCATATCAGCCTGGAATAGCTCCGGGGAGCCTCCGGGACTCACCCAGAAAATGGCGTTTCATTACATTCAACGCTGGTTTTTTATTTATGTACAAGATATTCAACCATGATTGATGGTTGAATGTTACATTCTTGGAATGGCACTAACACATATAACATTTTAGGTAGTAGTTATAATTTAAGTTGACAAATGTAATAATAGTTACAGTACATTCTAACAAAATTTCAATTCAACATAATGACTATACTATAAATTGATAAAATAGATTACTGCATATTGATGAAGTTGCATGTTTTAAATATTTAACTGGATGGGTGTGCAGTACAAGATACAGTGAGAGTTAGTAGCACAAGGTGGGAAACTGAGGAGGAAATTAGGAAGAAAGTTTAGAATTGCATTTACCTCCACCTTGATTTTGATTTTTCTTTATACTTCTAATTATTTCTTGCTCTTAATTCTAGTTTTTATTTTATTTCTATGTCCTGTTGTTCATACATTTTTCCTTGTTGCTTCTACTTTCATACTTATATTCTTAATTATCTGATGACTTTTAGTTGGCAATGCCGAATGACTTAAAGGATGCAGTGCTGATCCATATATATATTGTTAAAGATTTTGTAATGTATACTTTCAGAATTAGTATATGGTCAGGAGTGGACAATAGTACTTGATATTCAGAATCGCATGCAGTTCCTCTGTACTGTGAGTATATATTGTTGCCTGTTGTGTACACTTGTGTACTGTATTCTTAGGCCCACCAGCTCTAGTGGCCTCAATGAGAACAAAGGAGATCCCCCATTATTCTTGAGAAATATTTGTGTTGAATTTTGAGCATGTACAGTTTTGGTGGGTAAGCAATTCTTTGCATTATTGTCCTATGGGTTACCTTGCCTTACCTTGAGGTTACCTTGAGGTGCTTCCGGGGCTTAGCGTCCCCACGGCCCGGTCGTCGTGGGTAAAAAATTTTTTATTGTTTATTTATTGTGGCTTGTTGAGCTCAAAATTGTTGCATTTTCTAGTATGAGAATTTACTCTTAATTACTAATTAATTCCAAGTTTTTTTTTTGCCGTTCTGCACTGATCCTTTTTCCAAATGTGAGGTCTCCATGCTTGGATACCCTGGGATATGAAATTCATCATTAATTATCTTTCCTCATTCCCAGGTTTCTGATGTAAACAATGTTGGGATTCTTAACCTTATTACAGTTAGTTTAATTCATTTATTATGCACCCCATACTCAGCCTGTGAGCAGTAGTGGAAATTGTTAAAAGCACACATAATGGGCTCAGGAACTGAACCCCAAAATGTATGTAGCTAACCAAGTTATAGTCTTGATAAGCTAGTTACAGTTTAATATATATTATGATAACAATGGGTTGAAGAACAAGCATAAGTACAGTCTGTAAACTAAGCAACTCAGTGGTGAATAACTAGAAACTTATTTATAATAACTCAAAAAGGGCAAGAGCTTGAGGATGAAGCCACAATGTTGCGCAGATACTGAATGCTTCCTCACCCATAGGATAAAAACCCTATGGAACTCTACCTGCTTAACACTTTCTCAATTTGGTGACAACATAGTCGTCACCAATATTCTTACTAACTACGCTGGCGTGCAGCTCTCGGGAGTCACGAGAAAAAATATTTGTATAAAGTCCATTTATTATCCGATCAACTTGGGAAAAGTTTGCAAATGTTTGCCATGAAATTTACGTTTTCTCTAATAGCCGAACAGCTTATTAAAGAGAACGGCGTGGCAGTGAATCATCGTGGTAAAACAATTGTATTATTGACACGACGAGTATAATCGACGTAGTTTTTATATATGTTGCCGGTCGAACGCATCCTTATGTGACCTTTAATACTTATGTTCTTATAGAACATTCTATTGTGAACACATTGGAACAAAAATGAAATACTTACATCGAAAAATAATGTCAGGACAGTGAATTGAATATACACTTTTCAAAGCGAGTTTCGCCGATATGCCGCCACGGGTAACACTTCGGCCACTTCCCACACTGTTTTGGGTGGGCTACGACATTGAATCTATATTTATATGCATATGTCCGTGTAGAGAATTTTATTGCGATTTCAGTGATACCAAAATTAACGCTGTAGCACAACTGTGGGCTTCACAACCATTAAGAGAGTGGAAACATTTTGCTGTTGTTTGGCGCTCTCGGCAAGTGATCTGAATAGTTTATTTGTTGTTGATATGCCTTATGCTTTGGCAGCATTTTATAGGTATGTTCTTATAGACAATTCTATTGCGAGCTCAGTGATACCAAATTTAAATACGTACGCCTACAATTAGTGTCAGGACAGTCAAAAAGAGTATACACTTTTTGGTCTTACCGCTTAGGCGCGCGAAACGCCAAAAGCACAACGGGTATGTTTTTTTTCAGAACACAGTAAGCACGAAAGTGTTAAGTTGTAAATGCAAAGATAATGCTTCATTTTAAATGCATCAGAAAAAATCCACAGAAATGATGGGGGGGGGGGACCTTTGACAAGCCACCAGTTTCCAGTCATTATCTAGGCCACTGCAGATGGAGGCCCTCAAGTAAATTACTTTTGGGCAACAGCTTATTATTTTAAATAATTTGTGATAATTGGTTCATTGATTTTGAACTTCTAGTTCTACCTAATGTGTACTTTAAAGTTTACGTGAGGGAGTCTAATTGTGACTGGTGCACAAAGTGCACCAGTCAGGACCCAGTGAGGATGCCATGTTTTCTTTTCCCCTTTCTCTTATATTTACATTAATAATATTTGTATAATTGCCAATATTATTATACTGTATTATAATTTATTTCATGTTTGTATAATTTAGGCATGCAACAAAGAGATGAACAGTGTTAATGCCATGGCTGACCACACCCATTCTGGAAATCACATAAAGGCAAGTATACTTATAAAGCAGTTTTTTGTTGACATCATTTATAATGCTTTATACATATTGCAGTGTGCTTTTTTCATGTATTGGAATTCATACTACAGTTGTGCTTGGATCTCTGTACAAATATTCAGCCATATACAGTATAATTAATTGTAAATTGCTGTGTGTGTACACAGAGGTCCAAACATGCCTCTATTATAAATTGTAACCAACTTGTATGCTATACATACTGTAAACTGAGTGGGTAAAAATTCCAGTTCTGTCTCATATTAATCTCGTGAGTTTGCTTATTGTATTTGAGCTGACTGCTGGTAATCCTGTAGTTTGGATACCAGTTAAATGGTGCACTTGTTTGAAGTTGTGTAAAGGTTTCCTGGCATTTTATTTACCTGAAATTATGCAAGAGCTAGCTACAATTTCAAAGTGGACAGGAATCCAGCAGCTTTGTTCTTATATCAACAGGACAGGATACAGGTTTCATATATATACATAAATATACCAGAATCATTACTATATTTGCAAAAAGGCAAGCCCTCCCTTTCCGGCCCGTTGGCATTGTGAGGGGGCTTGGTGGGCGGCTGCCAGAGTGTGATGCTCTATGAGACAGCTTGTCCTCTCTCCTTTTGAAGCCTTAGGCTCCTGCTGCTGTCTTCATAAATTTTACTGGTGGCTTTTTCATCTTCCTCGGGTTTACGTTTTTCCTCCCCACCTCGTCTCCTTTCTGATTGTTCCTTCCTGCCGACTTTTTGCCATTCTTGGATATTCATTCTGATGTCTTCTGTTTTGAAGCCGGGTGTTTGGGGAGGTGCACACTCGCCCATAGAACTGTGCTACCTGATGTTGTCAAGCGAGGGGATGCTTTTATTACCAAATTTTGCCTTAGTTGCTGAGCTCTATATCGATGGACTGATGGTTTTTACGGTGGTGATTGCAGGGTGTATAACCACTATGCGCCCTGGGGGGTCCTCCGTCTTGTCAGGTGTCCTATCCTCTAATTGTGGTTCCATGGTAGGTATGGGGGTTTTATTTGTGGACAAAATTTTTTACCTGTTCATTTTTATGCCGTACTCGGAATCTCATTCAACTTCTGAGACTCGTGGGGACCTCGACCAGACCCTTGAGTTGGACTGTGAGGGAAAGCTGGGCTCTGTAGCCCCCACTACATTGGGCCCTGACCAAGCTGCATTTCTGTCTCTCCCAAATGACCCTCTCTGCTCCCCTCCCACCTCTGTGGCAGGGTTGAGCCCCAAGCCCCCAGTGATGATGACCTCATCACCTGATGTGGCTTCATCTCTCGTTGTAACAACTGGGCCTTTTACCCCCCTTTCTTACTAGGGGTGCTCAGTGCTGTCATATCCACACTCACAAGTGCATGATTCTTTCCCGATCTAATACATTCCAAAGGATACCTGATCAACCAGGCTGTGATTCATACATCGGGCTGCTTGCAACAGCATCCAACAGCCTAGATGACCAGTCCAGCAAAGAAGGCCTGGGCGATGACTGGGCCGCGAGAACGCTAATCCCCGAAACCAACACAAGGTAACCATAAGGTAGGCCTTTAGTACCTTTACACAACGTATTTTCTTGATTAGTGAACCTGTATTATGTATTTTTGGACCAACAAGAAATGTATTGTGAGGGCAGGAGGGAATAATATCAAATACATATTCAATGACATTTCTGAGGGAAGTACCATCGGCTTCCTGGAGCTTCTCTATCGGTCAGGAGTGGCTTTTAATATTGGCTATATTAGTCTGGGGGGCTTCAGTCATATGGAGTCCAGGAACTAGTTCCTGGTTCCTACCAGGAACCATGAGCCAGAACCTGGTTCTCTTAGAGAGGTGCAGGGAGCAGTGGCCTATGAAAACTCCACTTTCTGGGGGGAGCCCCGTCGGCTCCCCGGAGCTTTACCAGCTGATATGCTAATGTCAGACTTTGGCATCAGTCATGTGTATGGAGTTCTAGGGCCTACCGGGGACCACGAGCCAGAACCTGGCCCCCTCAGAGAGGCAAGGGGAGCAATGGCCTATAGAAACCCCCGTGTGGTTGGAAGCATTCTATGTCTGCCATCGACCGGGTCAAGCATCCAGAAAGGTAAGCATTCCAAAACAAACCTCTATTCTGGTGAAAATTGCTACCTAAGCCGAACTAGTGGATAGAACTCAACAGAAAACAAGGAAACTAGTATGACGTCATACGTCACCGCGCCGCTGTCTGCGCAGCTCCCCCCTCCCCGGGAGGGGGAAGGGGGAGCCCCAGACCTCCCACGCCGGCTATCCACCCATCAGTTCTTCGGCTGATGCTATAGGCAATGGTTATGTGCTCCGGCTCCAGTGGTTGTTTCAGCACTGTACCTAGAGTGTGGTGTCTGTTTTCTAGGTGGTGCGTGAGCCGGGAGTGATTCTTCAGTACTCGGGCTGCATGCGCCTAGGGTTCCCTTCCCTAGGTGCCCTGTAAGTACTGCCCTTGGGGCTTGGGGCCACCTTCCACAAGTTCCTTGGGTCCTGCCCCTGCTTGGCCGTTTACTGCTTGGTTTTCGGCCGCTCTTTGTGTGCTCGGGTGTTCTGTCTCCCTTGTTCGCCTTAGAGTAAGGGGCAGTGTTTGCACTGGTGGGGCGCGGGGTACTGTGCAGCTTGTCTTTATCAATCATAGTGGCCGGCTCTGTTCCGCTTGGGTACGCTGTCCTCTTGCGGGGTTTTCTTTTTCTTTTTGTTTATCTACCTGGTGGGGGGGGGTCTGCCTTCGTTCTTGCCCCTTGTGTCCCTTGTGTTCTGAGTATTTTCTGGTGGTACCCCCTGCTAGGTCCCCGTGAGTGTACACGTCCCGGGGGTTCAGCTCTTAGAAAGTTGTTTGGTAGCTTTGGGTGCCGGTTAGCAGTACCCTGCCTGGGATTACCTGAGCGCGAGTCCTCTTAAAGTAAACGCTCGGGACCCTGGGAAACCCCTGGGGGCGCGCGGGTCCGATGGATGTGACCCCAGAGTCCCCCCCCTCGCTTCCAGCGAGTTTGAGGGTTGCTCTCACCTTTTGTCTCTGGGTGACTCTGTTTTGCCTCCGTCTGCTGCCTGTGGGGTCGATGACACCTTCGACCCGGAGTCCTGCAAGTTTGGTTGCTCGTTGTGGCTCGGTTACCCAGTTGTGCTAACAACGCGGGTGCGGGCAGCAGGGGCGTTGCACTTGAGCCTTGGTGGTGGCAACGTTCTCGTGGTTTCCTCCCCGGGAGCCCCGGGGCTGCCTCGTTGTAGTTCGTTTTGGGACTTGGGGGTGTTGGTTGCTTCGGTTCCATCCACGCCCCCTTGTCTTTCCCCTGGTTCACCCTTCCTGCCTGCATCCGGTTCCTTACCGTCTGTAGGTTCGGGGCGGGGTTTTTGGTGGTGTTGAGACTCGGGCAGTCTCGGGGAATTCCCCTTCCGGGGTAGTGACGGGGGCATTTGGGCCTGTTCCTCCAGCCGTGTTGTATGAGTCTGCCAGTGGGCTCCCTTCCTTAGTGTTTTCACGGCTGCCCCAGTTTTCTGGTACGGCCGGGGCTTTGGGGGAACGGCTCGGCCCCGGGGCCTGTCGTGTAGGTTCCCGGGGCTGGGGAGGGGCTGACTTGGGGGGGCCTTGCCCCCGTTAGGCCCCGTGGGTTTTTTTTATCCCCCTCTAGGCGGGGCTTGTGGTTACGCGGAGTGGGGTCTTTCCTCCCCACTCGCCGTACGTGCTGTTGGACGTCGGCCCCTCCCCGGGCTCGGTTCCTTGGCCTTTGAGTCGGTTGGTTCCGTCCTGTGGGTGGATGTTTCCTCCCCCCCTTTTTGGGACGGTGTTTTTTCATGTTTCCCCGTTCGATGGGGTTCTGCGTGACTTCTGATCTCGGGTGCGCCTGCGCCTTCATGTGCCTTCGGGACTAGTGTTGGCTTCTGTGTTCTCGAGGGTATGGGAAGGTTTTTCGCTACTTCCCGCATTATTGGAACGTCTGTCGGCTCCTCGTACTTGTCGCCCTGTTGGGCTACTTGTCGCCCTGTTGGGCTACTTGTCGCCCTGTTGGGCTACTTGTCGCCCTGCTACTTGTCGCCCTGTTGGGCTACTTGTCGCCCTGTTGGGCTACTTGTCGCCCTGTTGGGCTACTTGTCGCCCTGTTGGACTACTTGTCGCCCGGTTGGGCTACTTGTCGCCCGGTTGGGCTACTTGTCGCCCGGTTGGGCTACTTGTCGCCCGGTTGGGCTACTTGTCGCCCGGTTGGGCTAATTGTCGCCCGGTTGGGCTACTTGTCGCCCGGTTGGGTTCCTTTTTGGGCTCTTTGCTTCTTTGGCCGGTTTTATTGTTCCTGCTTCCTCTTTTGGCTCCTTTTCTCGTGCAGTAGTCCTGGCTGGCGCCTTCCCGCAGGGAGGGTGTGCGGTTCGGCCAGTGTGTTATGCGCATGCGCCGTGGAGTTTGTTTTGGTCTGGGCGGTGTTTCAGTGCTGGGGTTTTGCGCCCCTTTTTGCTACAGTGCTTCACCTCTCGTTCTTCTCCCTGGCTGCGGTATGTGCCCCTTCGCGCCGGGGGTGTCCTGGTTCCCAGTTGTGGGGAGGACACCGCGGTTTTCCCTGTGTCATGGGTGTGGACCGCCTCCTTCGCCTCTCCCTGTTCTCCTGCGGGTCCGGCAGGGTTCGGCTCTGGCGTCTTCACCTGGCGGTGCTCCCAAGTTCTTCTGGGCACGGTTGAGTCGTGTCAAGTTCGTGCCACCATTCGCCAGGTGAGTTTCTGCAGTCTGGCGTCTTTTGGCCGGGCGCTGGATGCGGCGGTGTTTATATACCTGTCTTTATTTAGGTATATTTTTGTACGACTGAGACCGTTCGCACACCAGTGACTGTCCCTTTATCACCCCTTCCTGTCCCCCTCATGTGCATGTCCAACCCATGCTGGAGTCATTCAGGGGACCCTCCTTTTTTAATGTTGTGAGGTGTGGGGGGTTGTAGGGTTGGTTCTGTACTCACCTGGTGAGGCTCCTGGCTGTGCTTGCAGGATTTGAGCTCTGGCTCTTGG